TAAACTTAAAAAATAAATAGAATATACATTCAGAAAGTACACATATCACAAGCATACAGCACAATAAATATTTACAAAGTAAACACACCTATCAGTTAGCACCAGCTGCGGAGACAGATCAGTAGCATTTCAGAAGCTGTCCCCATGGCCCCTAGAGTCATATGTCCCCTTCTCTACAAAATTAACAATTATCTTGACTTTATTGCCATGTGTTAATTTTGCCTAGTTTCAAACTCTATATAAATGGAATCATACAACATGTTCTTCTCTCTGTCTGGCTTCTTTTGCTAAAAATCATCTATGTTGTTGATCATGGTAGCTTATTGTCATTGTTACATATTCCATCATATGAATACACTACAGTTTATTCATGCTTTTATTGATGGACTTTTGGGGTTTTCCCAGTTTGGACAATACTCTGAACATTCTTGTACGTCTTCCAGCATATATTTCTGTCACTGGCTTATAGAGTAGGTGCATGGTTAGTAATAATAGATATGCCAAACCATTTTCCTAAGTGCTTATCAAAATTTAAATTCCCAACAGTGCCTTATGTTTTAACAGGATCACTCTGGCTGCTGCATGGTGAAGTGACTGTGCAAGGGTAAGGGTAATGCTAAGGGAAGCAGGAAGACTGATTAAGAGGTCATGCAGTCATCCATGTGGATAAGATGGGGCTCAGTGGTAATACTGACTGGTACTATTGGAGATGGTGATAAGTGGTTAGCTTCTGGTTATATTCTAAAGGTAGAATCAATAGGAGTTTCCTGATAAGTTGAGTATGGAACATAGAAAAAGAGAGGAGACAAGGATGTGTCCAAGGTCTTGGGCCTTATTAACCTTATGGACATAACTGCCATCAATGCAGATAAAAGCAGGGCAGCTGGTTTGAGAGAGATCATTAGTTCCATTAGGGCATGTTATGTTTGAGATGTCTGTTAGACGTCTGAATGGCTATTCAGGGAGGTGGCTGGAGTTCAGGAGAGAGGTCTGAGTGACTGATATAAAATTGGAAGTTGTTGGCAGATGATATTGTACTGATCAGCACCCAAAGAAGAAAGAGAAACCACACAGTAACTTGAACAGGAAAAAATTGTATTAAGAATCATTAAGGGATTTTTTTCTTTTACAACAATTCAACAGAATTAGAGGCTAGAACCTCTGTAGAATTATCTCTTTCCCCTCCTCCCCACCACTTTTCTTCCCTCTTTGGATTTTAACCTAGTGGATGTGGACATATAGCTGCTGAGAGCCATCTTGATACCAAGTGAAATCTAAATACAGAACTCATGATAAAGGACAGGATAACTGCAAATGGAGAGGGCTTCCACTGTGTGTGCCCTTGAATCAAGCTATTCTTGAAGTTTTTTATACTGTTGGGGCTATCAGTTCTGTTACTCAATAGATTCTCCTTTTGCCCAATCCACTTTGGGTTCTGTTTTCTCATATTACAGAAAGAGTTGTAATACAAATGCTTAGTCTTCAGTGTATTTGCAATATTTTCTTGGGAGATCTTAGCTTCTGATTTCTCCTGTATTAGCCCTGGTGTCACACTGTCTGGTGTAAGTCTGGACCCTGGCACTGTTACATAATCACCAGCTACTAAAGCTCACTTTGCCTCATTTTCCTTAGTAATAAATTGGCAGTGAAAAATATACCTTATTGATAGTGGTTTTGTGAGGAATAAATAAGATGAAATGTAAAGTGCCTACTAAGTTGTCTTTCACGTGAGAAATAAATGTTAACCATTTTATTGCTTAATAATTAAATATTGTTATTTTTTCTGTTTCGAATGCTAAGAGATATCTGGTTTATTCTGCAGTGTGTTTTATTACAAATCTGCATATTTTTGGCCTTTAATCTCCCAATTACTGAATTTTAAGGCTTGTAGTAGCAGGTTATTAAGTAAATCATGCATATCCCTATTGCTAAAGTGTGTGTAAACCTAATCTCTTCTTATAATTTATTTTATACAATATGTCACTGGTGACATATCACAGTCTATGAAATTCTCTTATTTAAGAAATTTAAAACAAATGATAAAAGAAGAGTATAAAAGTACTGAGTTAATGGGCAAAAAAAAACAAACCCAAGAATTACTAACAACAAGGAATTGGAGCAATGAGGCATGGGCTTAGTATGAAGAGAACTCTAAAGAGTATAGAGGAGGGGGAGGGTATAGCTTAGTGATAAAGTGCATGCTTAGCATGCATGACGTCCTGGGTTCAAGCCCCAGTATCTCCATTTAATAAACGTGATTACCTACCCCCTCCCCAAATTTTTTGAGGGTATAAGAATAGCGGCTCTGAGGAGCAGCCACTACCCAATGGTGGTGATGGAGGGTCCAGGAAGGGATTCCCTGTCCCTGCACCTGCTCCACAACAGCTGAGATGCAGACTTCATTGGAAGGGGTGTGGCCATGGCCCACCAGTGTCAGGGGGAGTCCCTGTGGTTCAGCACCACTGAAAGTTGTTGGAAATCCCTCTCTTAGGTACTGGAGAAAGGGGAGGTGTCTCAGGAGAGTAACTCCATGACACAACTGCTGGGAGGTGGGAATGGGGCAGTGGGATGCTGCTGGTCACCACACACAAGAAGAGCAGGCCCTGCAGGAGTCACCCACCTGAAGAAGTGTGGCCAAAGCACAGCAGAACCAAGAAGGAAGACTGCTTCTTTCTGCAAAGTTTCTCCATCACACTCTATTGACAAAACCTAGGATCCCACTAGTGTCAAAGGAAAAATATTTAAAGGGCTAATTCCATTTTTTCAGAGTAGGCAATGAAGGGTGAATCTGTAGCAGAGTTACAATAAATTGATAACAGATACAGAGGGCATATAAAACTTAAAGACATGATGAAATCACCAAGGGAGTAAGTATAGACACAGAAGAGAAGACGACTAAGGCTGAGCCCTCTGGGCTCTAACGTTACCAGGCAAGGCTGAAAGAACCAGCAAAGGCCACTAAGAAGGAGCAGCCTGGGCAGAAGGTGGTATTCTGGGAGCAAAGTGAATCAAAGAGAAGTAGGACAGAGGAACCAGAAAACATACTGACAACACTTTTCTGAAATTTTGCACAAAGGGAGTAGAAGGACGATGTATCAACTGGTATAGGAAATGGGGTCAAGAGGTGGTTTTGAAGATGAGACAAATAATTACATGTGGTATGATGATGATGATGGGGATAGTCCAGTAAAAACTGCTGATGTTGAGGAGACAATAGACTGGCTGGAGTGATGCCCTGGAGTAGTAAGAGAGGATGGGATCCAGTACTCAATACAGAATTCCTTTAGGTGGTCACAGTGGTAGTTCATCTACAGTAACAGGCAGGCAGCAGAGAGGGACATGAGCGGATGTGGTGGTGGAGATCTCTGGTGGTGGTAGTCTCCACTTCCATTTTCTTAGTGAAGAAGGAAGGGGGAGGTGGTGAGAAGGACTGAAGAGAGGAAGTATGAAATACTCGTTTGGAGGAAGGGCATAGACAGGCAAAGTTAGAATCATTAAAGTGAGAACACTCAGCATGGTTCTGGGTTTTCCTCCAGCCATGTTTAGTTGTATTGCTATAGCATGGAGTAGATGGGGAATTCGGTTTATCCAGGGCTCTCATTTTACCAAGCAAGTATGATGAGGTGACAGGGAGGCGAAGGAGTTGAAAAAGCATGCAAGACACTGATGATAATGATTGACCATGGAGTTTAAGCTAGTTTATTAGAGACAGAGAAGTTATCAAGGGAAGAAGGTAGTGCGGTTTGGATTGGAGGTATGGGCAGGGTTACAAAGTCTTGATTTCAGAGCATCAGAGGGAGTTACCTGTAAAGAAGTCAGGTGGTGTTTTAGAGTGGGATGCTTCAGGAGTTCCAGTCCTTGGACCTGCCAAAACCTAGAGTATGATCACAGAGGGAGTGAGAATCTGAGGTAAAGCAGAGGATAAGAATGGGATCCATGGAGCCAAGAAGTTAGAAGAATTATCTACCTGTATACTGAAGTCTCCAAGAAGAGGATAGTGTCGGAGGGAGTTACAAAATTATAAGCTCTTTACAGATGAGGGAAGTGTTTGCCTTGTACAGCAGCCTCCCAAGCACACCACAGAGTGTACAGGGTATGCAGAGCGAATAGCTGTGGGATGCTGAGGGAGAACGAGACCGCTTTGAAAAGGCATGAGGCGTAGTGGGGTCTCGATTACTATAGTGAGTCTAGTACTGTGAGGTAGAAAAAGTGAGCTTCAGGTGCCTGGGTGGGACCATATTGAAAAGAAAACCTCCAAAACTCTGAAAATGTACCTAGCTCCCTAGGCATTGGCGCATCCCAGCTCACCGGAGAGGTGGGAATGGGCGGAACCCTGGGAAGATAGTTATGCTCCAAGGAAACTGCAAGAAGCTGCAGCCCCGCAGGGAAAGCTCCTTTCCCAGGAACAGAGAAAGGCCAAGTCATTTCATGCAGGGTCAGAGTTTGTCTCTGCCCTCAGAAACTGTTGGTCCCGGCAAAAGAGGGTCCCAGCACCAAAGACTTCCGAGAAATCTCTTTAAGTCATCTTTAAGGATGAGCAAGCGGACCAACTAGTGTGACTCCCAATCAAATGCTACTCCTTTAGGCCAGTCGGAGGACGGGTGCCTGGAGCTTTCAGAGCAGACGGGCCTGGTGACTCCAAGGTGACCAGGCTAAATCTGCTGTTTTCGGCTTTTCTCCCGCATCTGGAAACAGATGCCAGGCGGCACTCTCGCCGAAGTCTCCGGGTGAACTCGGGCATAAGCGCCGCTCGCTGCTCCGAGACCCAGACCTACAGCGCCGAGCGGCGGCGGGGCGGGGCGCTGCTTTAGGTGGAGTGCGCCGCTCAATCGTCGCCTGAGACCGCCCTCAGCCAATCACGATCTTTCCTTTCCCGTTTCCCCTGAAAGTCGTCCCTCCGCGGAACTCTTTCTTTTGCTCCCTTTGTTTCCCGCCGGCGTATAGAGTTTGCTCATAGAGCGCATTTCCGCTTCCGGCGCTGTCCATGTGGGCCGAAGGAGGAGTAGCAGTTGTGAACCTGGTAACGGCCGCGGGCTGGGGGAGGCCGCGATGGTTGGGGTCCTCAGGGCTGGGGCTCCGGGAGGGTCGCGAGTCGCGCGCGTGGTAAGGTCCTCCCTCGGCCCTCCCGGACAGTCTTTGCTCCCGAGAAGCGCCTCTTGCCACGGGCAGACATACTTCGTACCTGCTGGGAAAGTGTTGAAGGAATTCGCGCAGAGCCGGGACCGGGAGGGGAGGTGTCAGGGAGAAGTGAGAGGTCGTTAAAGGGCAGGGGAATCCTAGCAGATAGCTTAGAGCTGAGCCAGATCTGTTGACTCCAAATTGTGCCCCCACTTCCCGAAAGAAAAGGAGAAAGGCGTCATCAGTACAAGTTCGGAACCAAAATATAGTAGAGAAGAAAAATAATGTCTCTGAAATCACAACAGCTGTTTAGTCAAAGAGTTCCTAGAACCAAGCTCTCCTAAGTCCCAGCCATTGTATTTTTGACATTGTGCTGGTATATGTGGACTTTGTATTTCCGCTGGTGTCTGTCCGTGGGAAATCTGACCGATCAACAGTTGTGCAGCCTTCTGATGTGGCCCCTACTGCATGGTACAGGAGACACTGGTTTGGATTTCCTCCACTATTTCAGATCATAGCTGTAGCCATCTCCATGCACAGTGCCTAGCGCATTATAGGCAGATATGAATGCTTATTGAACTGAAATGAACCTTAATTGAATGAAATGAGCACCCCCCCCCGCCTTTTAAAGCAAGCGCTCATATTGTATGTGACCTGATTTCCTAAAAAAAATAATAATAATCCAGTGATGCCCAATTTATGGGCCATGAATTCCTGGGACTCTCAGAAATTATTGTGAGGATTTTGCAAATCCGTATGGTGTCCAGGCATCATCTAGGGCCAATCATACTTCACACACGTAGTTATTGTTTTTTTAATGTATACACACGACTATTATGTGTAAAAGTTTTAGAGATTCTGCAGTAGCTAAAAGTAATACTGCCATTATGTTGGAGATTTATTAAAATGATTTACTTTTTCAAACTATCATAAACATAGTGTAAGTTTGGAAGCCACTTCATTAGTCCAATTGATATTTAGGGCTGAGTTAGTATGGTAACTACTAGTTACATATGGCTATTTGAATTTAGAGTTGAATTAATTAAAATTAAATAAAATTTAAAATTCAGTTTCTCAATTTCACCAGGTACATTTTAAGTTCTCACTAGCTACACGTGGCTGGTGACTGTATTAAAAAATAGAGAGTATTTCCATCATTGCAGAAATGAACAATGCTGATGTAGACATTTAAGACAAAAAGTAATCTAAGCAGAGGTAAATGATTTTTAGCATAATAGAAATGAAATTGGGGATAATGTTAAGCAGTTTCCATCCCTAATGGGTGAGCAAATGCGTATCTCCCCATAAGGAGATAAATGAAATATACTGTTTTTCTCTGGGTGTTTTCTGGATTGTAAAATGTTTCCCCCATCCTTACCCCATTCAGTGTATTCAGTGTAGATTAGAGTTACGTGTGAATTGGTAAAAAGCCACTATGGAGACTAAGGACCAGAAGAAACACAGAAAGAAAAACAGTGGGCCCAAAGCTGAAAAGAAGAAGAAACGGCATTTGCAGGATCTCCAACTTGGAGATGAGGAAGATGCCAGGAAGCGAAACCCCAAAGCTTTTGCAGTCCAGTCTGCTGTGCGAATGGCTAGATCCTTTCACAGGTATGTTTAGCTGGAGTCTAGTAGTTTTTCCATTTATTCTTTTTAAACAGTAGGAGCCTCTCCAGATATTTGGGTTCATGAATCTGTCCCAACTCTGAAGGACATGGAGATGCATGCTGTATTTTTTTAACTAAAATGTAAGAAGTCTTTCCTTGCCTCTAGCATCTGCACACTTACTGGCTTTTTTTGCCCAAGAGAGAAGCTTGAGAGTTTATTTATAGTATTTGTAAACTTTAATTTCTGGGTTAATAGATGTGGTATTACATTTTCTGGATATGTTTCATATAATTGTAATATGTAGTATTAAAAAGCTTTATCTAATGAGTGCTTATTATATGTACGTTAAAGGCAGTGTAATTTAACCATTATTGAATTCCATTTTCCCAGTAGAAGAGCCAAAGTTAACTCCAAAGCCTCAGCTCTTATTTATTATGGTACACTACCTCCACGTTTGCCTTATTGTTTCTTTTTAAACTAGTACAGTCAACTAACAAAGCAACCAGACTTAAGGTGTATATGGTTTTCAGCACTGTACTGTTGAAGTCAATCTGTTGTATATAGTTACTGAAGTGGTTATTTGGATTGGGGCTAGAAGATAACAAGTTAATTGTGTTCACATATTGTCTGTTCTGCTGTCTTGAAAATCTTTGCTTCTAGGGGTGATGCCTTTTATATTTTGAAAGTGAATTTACTTTTTTTTTGTAAATAAATAGAACTCAGGATTTGAAGACAAAAAAGCATCACATTCCAGTGGTTGATCGAACTCCACTGGAGCCCCCACCAATAGTGGTGGTGGTGATGGGGCCTCCAAAAGTTGGAAAGAGCACTTTGATCCAGTGCCTCATTCGGAACTTCACCAGGCAGAAGCTGACTGAGATCCGGGGCCCTGTAACAATCGTGTCAGGTAGGAGAGTGCTGTCAAAGACTGATGTGGCACATCCTGTCATCTGGGGGACATGCGTGTCTTTTTTGAATATTTTCTTGACTGGTGAATGTTAAAGTAATATTGTCACTTCATATTACCACTCTTGTACTTTTAGTAAGGTGGTTGTAGCTTCAGAAAAGGATAGATAATAATGATGTAGACGTATACCTTCTTCTGACTGCTGTATGGATTTGCCAGCTGTGGTCCTCTGAAGGGCTTGGCAGGCCTGGGCAGGCTGGCTTGGTCAGAGTGAGCACCTTCCTTTAACAGATAGTGAGTACCTGCTGCATACCAGGCTTGCCCACATGAAGCCATGTTCTTGTGGAAGTGAGGGAGTTTTTCTCTTTTTTTCCTGTGAGAGCTTGTCTGCTCTGGGAAATGGTGACCTTTCTAAACTTTTAGGGAAGCTGAAGCAGATTCCCAAATGGCAGTGGTAGAATCTGAAATCTCTTATTAGAGCAATAATATAGTTGGATTGAGGCTTTTCTTTTTAAGGCATTCTATTATTTTGACTGATTTCTTTTAACTTAATTTAGAAATAATGATTATGCCATGGACATTCTGTTGCATTAGGCTTAGATGTTTTAGCTGTGGTGAGAACAGAGGAAACTTTATTAGAGAGAGAAGCATTGGCCCACTGCTGAAAAGGAGGATCATGACCATCATGAAGCCTACTTGTCTGCCCATTCCAATTGGAACTGTACCTGTTTGAGCACTTGATTCATATGGCTGGTCTTTTGGTATTATTTTAAAATTAGTGAACATAGCAAGAAAACTAAGATGGAATTAATTTTTTATGATCAGTTTTCTCCTCTGCAAATGAATTTCTGGTATACTCTTTGTAAGTGTGTAAGGTGCTTTAGTGGATGCAATTAAAAATGATAATTAGAGTTAATAGATTTTTTTCCAAGGTTTTTAAAAGTAAAATTTTTATCTTTCTACTTACAGGTAAAAAGCGCAGACTCACCATTATTGAATGTGGGTGTGACATTAACATGATGATTGATCTGGCTAAAGTAGCAGATCTGGTAAGTTATTGGGGATGGCATGGATTTCTGGTGGGGACTTGCTGCATTGTGATAGGTTGTTTATCCCATGTTGAAGGGAAGAGGTTTATGATTATTAAAGGAATGATGAGTATCATCAGGGATACAATAGATGTGTTTGAATTGATGATAATGATAATAATAATTGTTATAATAAATGGATAAATAATATAAATGGAATGCACATAATGAAATGTATTCTAAAATCTAAAAGCAAACCATAGGACAGAGAAAACTTTTAATGAAAGTATCATTTTTTGGACCTTTGCTAGGCACTGTGCTAAAGGCTTTCTACAAATTTAGCTCATCAAATCCCCCAGTATGCCTTAGAGGTAACTGGGTCTCCAGTTTACATATGATGAAATCGAGGCTCCTGGAAGTTAAGTAATTTATCTGAGGCTGGGAACTTTGCTCTTGATGGTATCAGGAACTCCGTTCTTAATAATTATGGTAAAAATAAGTACATGGATTACCCTTGAGAAGTTGTCAAAGTTTATAGTGGAAAATCTAGACAGTACTCAGCATATGGAAATTGTGCAGCCATGAATGCATTTATAAAATGGTCATGTTCATTAATTACCTTTTAAACTAGCAAAAATAAAGCTAAAAAGAAAAAAAATTAAACCATATTGATTAGGAAGTGTGGGGTGACAGATATGTTGGATTTTCTTATTCATTTTCATTGGTGACAAAGAAGATGCAGGTTTTATCCTTTGGTTCAGGAAGTCTCCTAAAAAATAAAATAAAAAGTAATTTAATATAGTTATTATAGTTGTGCCATCTTAATATCCAGAAACTAAGTACCATTCACATTTTGCTTATGTAATTCTGCAATTAATAAAAATAAGTATGTCATTGGCCACACAAAATAGCACAGTGTTATTAAATCTTGTATACTTGACATGATTGAAACAATTAAGCATGTCATTAATTTCTTTTATGTAACATATACCATATACTAATTTTAAAAGCATACACATAGTAAGAAAGATGCTTTTCATATACATGTTTTTAAAATTTAAAAAGGAACACACACATTTGCCCAAAAATACTCAAACTGTACTTCAGGGTATGGGATATGCACGATGCATGCTTTTGCTTTCCTTCTCTGACCCTTAGTCTCTCAGTTCTCTTCAGCGGTATCCTTCCAGATCATAAATATATGTACAACTCTTAGAGCACACACTGTTTATCATACATGCTGTTCTGTGCTTTGCTTGTTTTCCCTTAGTATGTCTTGAAGGTATAAGATAAGCTCAGACTCATTCTTTTTAACTATTCTGTTGTATGTACCATTATTTATTTCACCTGGCTAATGTTGACTGCTCTGTTCTGGGCTGTCATAAAGCTTCCTAAGTCACAGTGAAGGCACACTGGGTACGTGGACCTGTGTGTGTGTGTGTGTGTGTGTGTGTGTGTGTGCGGGCACGTGTATGTACATTGGAGTAGTAATAAAGGCTCACTTATCTTTAGCTGACAAAGATTGTCAGCTAAGGGACTGTTTGCCACTTATTCTTCGGACCCTACATCTAGCTACTTGCTCCCTGGCAGTCCATGGTGTCAGATGAGGTGTAGGGATATTCCACAGCCAGCCCACACAGCTGTGCTTTCTCACAATGCCCCGTGGCCTGCCTTCATGTATTTTCTGTTTTAAGGCTCTAAATGTCCCCTAGTTTAATCAAAGATTAATTTTTTGTTTTGGGGTTAGGTTTTTTTTACGTTACCTCCAGAAAGATGAGGACAGAGATGTTTTAAGTCTCCAGGAATCAATTCTGAAGTTGTTTTGCATGTTTGAAGAGTCATAAATATAAAAAATTGGTCTTTGCTTACATTTTCTTATAGATTACTGTTCAAAACTATCCTTTGTTTATGGATGAGCAGTTGGATGTTACAAATTAATATAAGAAAGATAGAGCTTTCCTACTACATACCTCCCAGTGAGAAACTCTTTTTTCTGTTAGAAGATTGAAAAAAATGTTCAAAAAATTTCACATTTTTTATGTTTTTCATTGATTACCACATCCTCCCATTTTTTGGACATCAGAGATGTGTTGCTTGGCTTAAAAATACTTAACAGAAAAATATTTCTTGAAGTGAAAACTTTTCAGGTTAAGGACCAAATTAGACCTAGCCTTTTCTGAGTTATTTCTCATATATCCAGATTATTGAAATGTGGTTGATATTGTCTCAAGCTTGCCTTGTAGAGCAGGTCAGAAGGTTTTCTTTATCATGGTGATTCCCTAAAGTAATTGTTTAATTTAATCTAGAGCAGGAGTAGGCAAACTTTTCAACAAAGGACTGTATATAAAGATAGTAAATATTTTACGCTTTGCGGGTCACAGTTTCTGTTGCAGTTACTTAGCTGTGGTTGTAATGCAAAAGCAGTTGCAGACAATATAAAGAAATTAATATGTCTGTGTTCCGGTAAAACTTTAGTTGCAGAACAGGTGACGGGCCAGATTTGACCCGTGGGCCATTGTTTGATGATGGTCTGTTTTGGGTAGCCTCCTTGAGAAATTTTGTTTCTCTTCTGTTTTTAGGTTCTGATGCTTATAGATGCCAGCTTTGGGTTTGAAATGGAAACATTTGAGTTTCTAAACATCTGTCAAGTACATGGCTTTCCTAAAATTATGGGCATTCTCACTCACCTAGACTCCTTCAAGCATAATAAGCAACTGAAGAAGACAAAGAAGAGATTAAAACACAGGTTCTGGACAGAAGTCTACCCGGTAGGAAGAGTACTATAATCCTTTAAAAATAGAATGAAAAGGAGAGATTAACAAACCTCTCTACAGGATCGCCTCCTTCGTTTCCTTTATATATCTGTTCATAATCCCTGGAATATTTCCTCACGATAGTCTTCATTCTGGGCCTCTTGGTGTGTCTTATTTATCTCTGCTTCCCCCAGCACCAGCACGAGGCAGCGTCTGGCTATATGTCTTTTGGATTTGTGATTTAATAGAATTTGTCCAAAGTTTTTCCTTGTCACAGGACCAAGAACTGTATTGCACACACACTGCCACTGCTTCCTCTCCCCGAGACCACTGGGTCCCATTGGTCACAGAATTTTTTTGGTGCCCAGGAGCCTCATTTCTCCTGTGCAATGCTGCACTCAGATGTCACTGCTTGACTTGAAACTAAATACATCTACAGCTCTGTCCCTACAAAGCCCTAACAAGATGAGTCCTGAAAGAAGCCAGAGGCCTTCTGGAAGCATTGGCACAGTGGGTTGCTAGAAGTCTCCCTTTCTTACCGTTGCTGCTGCTGCTTTTTTTTTTTTTTTTTTTAATTTTCAGTTTACAATGTTGTGTCAATTTCTGGTATACAGCATAATGTTTCAGTCATACATACACATACATCTATTCAGTATTGCTTCTTGTTTAGAGGCCTTTATTTTGGTGTGGTAGTGACAAAAATTCAGTTGAAATTTAATTGATTAATTAATTAATTAATTTTTAATATTTAGGGTGCCAAGCTGTTCTACCTTTCTGGAATGGTGCATGGAGAATATCAAAACCAAGAAATTCATAATCTGGGCCGTTTTATTACAGTTATGAAGTTTAGGCCTCTTACATGGCAAACGTCTCACCCTTATATTCTTGCAGACAGGTAAAAAGTGAATGTAAACTTCTTCCTGACCCATATGTTTCAAAGCGAAAAAGGTTAGAAAAGGAACAGTACTAGAGCTTATTTTGTCTTAGTTTTAAACAGTGGAGAGAGAAATATAGTTGATGGGAAATACCTGCTTTTTCGTATCCTTTCTTAAAGATGCTATGGCTTCAGGAGTAAATAAAGAATAAATGTTTAGAAAAATGTGAGGATTTTGAAGCATTTAAGGCTACAGGATGTAGCCTTCATTTTCAGTGATGCTGCCTTTGGATCACGCTGCTCCTGTCACTCAGATGTGCCCTGTGCTTTCCTTCCTTTATGCTTTTTTCGTATTTTTTTTCTTGGGCTAGAATGCCCTTTCTCCACCTGCCAGAATCCAAGCCACACTCAAAAACCCAAATCAAAGCTTAATCTTCCAGAAACAGTTTTTCTGGATATGTTCTCCACTCTTCTGTAACCCCAGGTGTATGTCATTCCCCATTTTTGGCATCTTGCTTATGGAGTGTGTATCATGTAGAGCTTGAGAGAGAGGCAGTCATGTGTCTGCACCTTTTCTTCTGGTAGATGGTGAACTGTTCTTACTTCTCTGTTTTCTATAATTTTCTAAACAATATGTTTAGTGAAATGCTGAATGTGATGAATCATTGAAATGTGAAGAGAGATATAGGAACTTTGACATTAATTTCTGCGGTATAATTGAGTCTTATTTTTCCAGGATGGAAGATTTGACAAACCCAGAAGATATCCGAACAAATAGCAAGTGTGACCGAAAGGTGTCTCTTTATGGTTATTTAAGAGGAGCACATTTGAAAAATAAAAGCCAAATTCACATGCCAGGTATCCTTTTGTGGTAAAATATACTGTATTTGTAGAGCTCTTGGGATGACTTTATTTCTCAGGATGCTTCATCTTGCTGGAGGGTTTAAGAGTAAGTCAGCTCTGCATCGTTCAGCAAAGGGGTTAAGTTGACCAAATTTCCTCCGCTCTGATGGTGGTGTTTAGCTAGAGAGGCACAGTGCTGGTGTCAGCCAATGCCTTTGTTGTGGCTGAAGCCTTCTGACTGTGGGCCATTTCTGCCGGCGGTCACTTGTCAGCTGAAGCCATCTTCCTGGGTCTGTCTTCCAGGTGTAGGAGATTTTGCTGTGAGTGACGTCAGTTTCCTCCCAGACCCCTGTGCGCGTCCTGAACAACAAAAGAAGCGCTGTTTAAATGAGAAAGAAAAGTTGGTGTATGCACCTCTGTCTGGAGTTGGTGGTGTGCTGTATGACAAAGATGCTGTCTACGTCGACCTTGGGGGCAGCCACGGCTTCCAGGAATCGGTGAGGGGAAAGTCACGGGAAGTACTGTAGTCAGCCTTTGTTTACTGAAGCTTTTTATCTTTGTGTGTCTTGTAAATATACGGAACACTTAACTACACCAAGCAGAAGGTGAAAGTCATGTCCTCCGTACCTCCCTGCTGCCAAGATACACAGGGGACCCACGTCTCCCAGTGTGAGCTTTGGAAACAGTTTGGCATACTTTCTGCTTTCTCATTATACAAAATCAGTGTGTTTTCTGGCTCTCTTTGGTCTTTTTCTTTCTCTTTCTCTCTAAACATACACATGTTTATTTAGACTATATTGTATATATCTTTAGATTATTATACATTATATGTAAACACCATCTGTGTGGTATTTGTGTGTGTGTGAGAGAGAGCAGTAGTATTTGTTATATGGGATCCAACTATAAATGCTCTTGCAACTTTTTGGGGGCACCTAAGAATATGTGATGCCATTTTTCCCCTGTTAGTATTTGTAGAGATGCTCCAATCTCTTTATAACTGTAGTATTTCGTTGTATCGATAACTCTCCTTTACTGAACCAATCCTTGGAGGTCCGTGGGGCTCACCCCCAGTTTCCCCTGGTTGGAGCAGTGCTTTAGTGAGTGCCCTCACACATGCAGCTTTGCTCACTGGGAGGGATCTTTTATGCAGTAAATTCCTTGAATAAAATTTTTGTATAAAAAGACAACAAATAAAAAAAAGTAAACTTCAGATTTTTAATTTCTTTGTTCTGAAATGGGATTTTTTTATTGGGCCAAAATAAATGCTTTCTGTAGCACTGGCACCTCTGTATTTAGGTTATTAGATTGTATACTCCATGAACTTTGGAAAAGTTTAATGAGAGAGCAATCAATTTTAGGCTTTGTTGTAAGATTTTTTTTTTTTTGAAGCAGTAAGAAAGGTTCTCAGGAATGGTGTTTAGGGTAATTTTGAGAAACTGATTGAAACCAGTGTATTTTTCTTCAGCATCCTTGTGCGTTCCTCACTTTCTTTCTTGGTGGCCTTGACAGGAGGAGGTGAGGCCCACCCATGAACTGGTCCAGAGTCTCATTTCCACCCATTCCACTATTGATGCCAAGATGGCTTCAAGTAGAGTGACACTTTTTTCTGATTCCAAACCGCTGGGGTCAGAGGATATAGATAATCAAGGGTAAGTTTGCTATTTTTCTATTTTTAATAAAAAAAATTATAGAAGATTATATCACACATAATTCTGCCATCATAAAACATTTTGGTGGGATTCATTCCAGGCTGTTTGGTTTTGCTTTGCTTTGCTTTACTTTGTACGTGCATGTGTTTCTGAGGGCTCTTCGCTTATGTGAACATCATGTGTAAGTATTTTCTTGAAATAATATACGGGATTCAGTTTTTACAAACTCAGAGTATTCCTTGAATATCACAAAACCTTTCCATTGGTTGATTTGTTTCTTAGGAGTCCTAAGGCCACTTGGCTTTATTTTAATGGCCAAAATAGCAAGCAGAGTCAGGAAGCTTGCTCAGGTGGCTGTCCGGAAGCCACATGTGTTGTCTCTAAAATTTTTACTTATATTGCGTTGTAATGTCTTCTGTGGGTTGATTTCCACTAATATCTGGCTTATGTGAATTATTTTTAGTCAGAATTGGGAATTTGTATACCTATACATAGTGGGTGTTTTGGTTTTATTATAGTGATTTATGACTCCCACTAAAAATTAGTCTGAAAACGAGATTAGTTTATAATTCTAAGTATGTATAAATGCAGGAAAAAGTTTTTGGGGAAACTCACCTGCTGCCCTCCAACTAGCAGGTGGTATATAGCATGGTAATTAAGTGCGATAGGACTACTGGTTTTGGGAAATCAATCTCTCTAAGCCTTAATTTCCTGATATCTCATAGGAGTTGTGATAATTAAATACAATAGGACACACTATACTACTTACCACGATGTCTCATGGATAAGAAATATCAATAGAAGACCCCTGCTATTATGATCAATGTTGCTAGCTAACTATTTTCATTGTTGAGTGTTCCTCTAATCCTTGTGTACATGAATACGCTAACATGGTTACAGTCATAATACGTGTAAAGTTTTATATGTGCATTGTGAGCATTTCCTGTTTCTATATGTTCTCTTTATATAATCATCATTTTATTATTATTGATATATTTTAAGTTATCCATTTTTAGTACAATTTTTCTAATTTTTTTTCACAATTTCATAAATACTGCTGTTAAATAGCTTGATTGTTTTTTATTTCATCCCATAGTTTTGACATCTTGATGATTCTTCTTTATCAAGTATTGCATTGGTGATTTCAGAATGGCATTATTCTTAACGTGTTGTTCCTTCTCCATTTGTTGGCTGGCATTCTTTAACAAAGAGTTTAACTTACCACTCTTATTTTAGCATCACTGTTGACTAATGGACTTTATTAGAAAGTTTCATCTGTTATTATCCCATTACTATCATTATTTTTTGTGATGCCTTTAGTCTGTCTTTGTCCTTTTGGCATGGCCCTGTTAGCCCTTGCCTTCTTCTTGCTTTCTGACACAATAGGGCGTTCCAGGCTTACTTTGTACTTTCCCTGCCTTGGACCTGGAGTCAGCCATTCCTCTAAGGATCTTCTGTTTCAAACTTGGAAATAATGAGTCTTCTAAAAGATCTGTTAAATACTCACTTCCCTTTTGAGCAATTTCTTTCTGAAATCGGACCTTTTTTAAAGATTATTTCTTTATTCTCTTCATAAATTCTTTTGAAGAGTGTGTTTTTAGGGAAATGTGCATGAGTTTGCCTATCAACTATTCCAGTATTGAGCAAATCGTTCCTCTCTGTGCTGTGTCATTTAAAACCATTTCTTAAGGTTATTTTCTATCTCTTTGCATATTTATTGACTTCCATTTCTAGATTAGCCAATTATTGTGCAATTTGAGTTCTGTTGCTTTCCTTTCTAATACAGGCTGTTGATGCCAAAAGAGGAAAAGCAGGTGGATTTGAAAACTGGGCGAGTGCGTCGGAAAGCCGTTTTTGGAGATGAAGAAGATGAGTCTGGAGACAGTGATGATGAAGATGATGAAGAAATGTCTGAAGGTGACAGGTTGGAAAATAGCTCTAGTGATGAGACAGAAGAGGAGGAAGATGCTGAAATGACTGATAAACAGTATATGTCTGGTAAAGGTATCAAACGGCAAAAACTTGAGCTAGAAGAGGATGTGGAGGTGGATTTGCCAGCGTTTGCCGATAGTGATGATGACCTTGAGAGGAGCTCAGTGGAAGAAGAAGCAGAGGAAGCCGATGAAAGCAGTGAGGAAGAGGACTCCACTGCAGAGGAAGAGAGGGGTATTTTACAATCTAAGGCTGTCAGAGAAGGCACTAAGCGAGGACCATTACAAACTAATGGTGTGAGTGATAGTTTGCATCTGGAGAAGTCTTTGACAGTGAAAAAGGCAGCCCTCACCACTTCAGATTCAGGCCATTGCACAGCTGAAGAGGCATTTGCATCCGAAGATGAATCTGAAGAAAACTCCTCTGTCAGTACAGAGGAGGAGGAGGGTTCAGAAAATGAAAAGGTTATTAGGAAAAAGTTCCCACGGCCTTCTCAGGTGGTCAGTAGTCAGAAACTGGGGTCAGAGAACTTAACCGAAGAGACCAGTGATATAGAAGACTTACTCAAAGAGGAAGAAGATTACAAGGAAGAAAATAACTATTCCACAGAAACTTCAGGTGTGTTTAAATTTAATTTAACGGCCATTATAAACTTGGCCCTGAAAATGTTCTACAAACTGAATGTCTACATTTGAGGGTCTGCTGTTCTGGAGATTTTGTTAACTGTTCAAATATTGCACCTCATAAAGGGATTTCAGAATGAATGAGCACTGAGCTTGAAGCAGAGAGGACAGATAAACAGACTTAACCGATGTTGGTGTTGGTCCTTTCAGGTGCCCTCAAGTGGAAGGAAGACCTGTCCAGGAAGGCAGCTGAGGCCTTTCTGAGGCAGCAGCAAACAGCTCCAAATCTTCGAAAGCTTATTTATGGGACAGGTAAAAGAAGCTCTGGTTCAGATCTAGAAACATTTTAGTTTCTTAGACTATTTTCTGAAAAGGGGGTGAGAAAATTGGTTGGAGGATTTGGGTGGTATTTTTGGTATCCATAAGATATTTCTGGCTGTCAAACTTTAGATCTGGCAGATGTTTTTAATCATCAGGTCATGAGGACCCAAAGTCAGTCATAAGAAATAGATTTATGGGTTTGCCATAAAACTTTTGATGAGAATACTCTCCATTATGTAATTTTGTACCTCCTATACAAAGTCTTTCATTAAAATTTTTGTAGAATTTAGTGCCAGAAAAATAATTCTGCCTATAAAGGCATTTTTTTCCCTTCTGGAGAATGAGCTCTGTGTTTAACTCATTCTCTTTCCCCCCTTTGCCCTTCTCTGATTTTGTATTTTATTAATACGTCTATATATTCTTTTTGAAAAGAGCTTGACGCAGTGATGCAAAAAATAAATATAAAGCGGTGAACCTGATATTGTGGTCCTTATTTTGTGATTAGAACAAGGCCAAGGAGTATATGTGAGCTAGGAGCATTTAATCGGAGGGTTGGTGTTTACTGATTTCCATTCAGGTTTTGCCTTAGTGCTGTTACTAATTAGAGACTCAGTGCCCTTCAAGAAGAACTCTTTATGATAATTGAAAACTCTGCCTTTAAGTGTCTCTTCCCTCCCCCAAGCCCTAGCATTCTCCCTCCTCAGTGCACACTTTGCTGCTGGCTTGCGGGAGGGCAGCTGCCCTCCAGACGTTGAGCAGGAGTTCCTTGGCCTTCTCTGTCTGTGGCTGATGCGCTCAGGGGCACCACCATACTTACCACAAACAGGGACCCTCAGTCCTGAGTCCTCTAGTGGGTAGATCTGTTCTCACTTTTCTATCATGGCGGTTTCTTTAGTGACAGAGGATAATGAAGAAGAAGAAGATGGTGATACCAGGGAAGAGCTTGGAGGGTTGTTTCGTGTCAGCCAGCCTGCCAGAGAGTGTAAGCACAAGGCTGACTCTTTGGATTGCTCCAGATTTCACGTGGAGGCGCCCCATGACTGGGATTTAGAGGAGGTAAGGCTGAGTATGAATATGTGACTTATGAGAGAATGAGGGAATTGTTCTAAAAGAAGATTATGTGATTTCAATATTGCCTGTTACTAGCTTCGTATTTTTATGACACAGCAGGACATTTCTCCAGCAGTTGGAGTGAATGTTTCATGCATTCTAAGCAATAATATGTTCTGAGTTTAGTCAGACCATGTGCATGTGTTATGGAAAAAAGGAAAGTGTTCAACTCTTAGTGTGAATAGTATTATAAATCTTTATTTTGAAGCATTACACGTAAGTTTTCATACATTTGAGATACTTTGTGTTTTATAACTAGGAGATACCTAGTGTCCCAGAAGTTAACTTTTATAATTTCTACCATTTGTAAGCAAACAGCAATTCATGACAGTGGTAGATTTTCTTTCCCTGCTCACCTCTCTAGTCACACTGGAGAATTCATTCAGTTCTCAGACTTGCCACGTTTAATCCCATCTTGAATTTCTTGTGCTCTATTTTCTCTTCTGGAATGTTCTTCTGATCTTCCCAAGGCTGGCTTCTGATCATTCAGTTTAGCTGAAAGGTCACTCCTTTGGAAGCCCACTCACTATCATATTATCTATATTAATTCACTGGGTAGCAGTTTTATGCACTTTATGAGATTTTATGTAGCCATTTTTTATGGTAAAATTTAACACAGATTATAGAAAACCGCATAAAAATAATTGTTTAACTTAATGGATTATTAGGTGAGTACCTCTGTAACTCCATGTATCAACCCCAGTCATAGACCTCTCCTCCCTGCAGAAGGAACAGTGACTCCTATAGTAATCATTTCTTCTTTTCTTTATAACTTCATCTTCCAAGTATACATCAGTAAACACCAGGGTTTGTTTTAGTTTACCAGGTTATCTTTCTTTGTTTTTCTCTGCCTTTTAAGTCTCTTAATCTACAATATTCCCCTCCAGTCATCTCTTTTTTTTCCCCTTACCTTTTCACTTGTTTAAGAAACCAAGTATTTGATGTATAGAGTTTCTCATATTCTGGGTGTCCTGAGTTGCATCGCATCCCCATGTGCAGTTTGTCAGGCTCCACTCTTCTCTGTATTTTCTATAAATTGATACAGAGCAATACCAATAGAGATGTCTGTGGTGATGGAAATGATCTGTAAAGAACTGTCCAGTGTGGTCATTTGTATATATTATTTAAAATACTGAGCACTTTAAATGTGGCTATGAGACAGAAAAACAAAATTTTTAATTTTATTTGTCTTATTTAATCTCAATTAATTAGAATGTAAGTTACCATGTAATAGTTGTAGCTACCCATGGATAGCACATCTAGAAGTTTGATTAGATTTAGGTGGTTTTTTTGTTGTTATTGTTTTGTTTTCAAGACTACTTCCTAGGTTGTAGTGTTTTTTCATTAGGAGACACACAAAATCACCTTGTGCTGTTAGCAGCTATAGATGTTCAATGCTTAGATCCATTAATTTATTAAGGATGTAAAATGGTAATATTTTGTTCAAATTTCTCTTCGCTTGTTAGCTGAAATACTTCTATAAAGAGAAACTTCTCGTCTACTATTTGGTTACCCAGTTCCATATAAGCAGTAAAAATACTTGATTCCTTTTTTCAGAATGATTGTCCAAAGGTGACTTTTTTTTTAAGTTCTATTTTTAACTTGGATTTAAATATAGTTGATGTGTTTTCTGCCACTGCACTTGTTATCCTTACTGATGACCATATTTGTCTCATCTGTGGCCAGTGGGAGTCTCTTCATATTGGCTCCTGGGTCCTTTTGACATGACCCTAGGAGTCCTTGACTGCTTTATTGCTGTCTGATAGGAAAAGATGTTCCAGCATCATCTTGTACATTTCTGATGCCAGACTTGGAAACAGCCATAAGAAGTCCTGATTGTTTCTAGGCCTCTTCAGTAACCAGAGCTGGGAGAATTCATGTGTACATTTCCAATTCAGATTCAGGACTACAGGGTTTTTACTTAACCTCTTTTATCTTACATTTATATCTCTGTTTTTCCACTGGAGAATTATTCCCTGTTTGAATTGGAAGATGATTAAATTAGAAAGTTGTATAATTACTCATTTACTTTATCCCAGTTACACACAGAAGGTGTCTAGCATTATACTTGTTTCTATTGACTACTGAAAACAGGTAAAGTTTTTTCTTATACGTTCTCCCTTGTCTCTTTTCAAAAGTGGCTACCCATTTTGCATTCCCACCAGCAGTGTGCGTAGCTTCCGATTTCTCCACATCAGAATAACATCACCAACACTTGTTATCACCTATTTCGTTGTTGTTTTTTGTTGTTATAATCATTCTGGGAGGTGTGAAGTCATAACTAATTGCACTTTTGATTTGCCTTTTCCTGATGGCTAATAATGTTAGGTATCTTTCTTGTGCTTATTGGCCATTTGTATATATTATTTGAAGAAATGTCTATTTATATTGTTTGCCCATTTAAAAAATTGGGTTGTCTAAGTTTAAGTTGTTTCTGTATTCAGGATCCAAGTCCCTTATCAGATATGTGATTTACAAATATTTTCTCCCATTCTGTAGGTTGTCTTTTCTGTGCCCTTTGAAGCACAAAGTTTTGAATTTTGATGAAATCTAATTTCTCTACATTTTTGTTGTTATTTGTATGTTTGGTATCATACCTAAAAAACCATTGCCAAATCCAAGATCAGGAAGACTTACTCCTGTGATTTTGTGCTTTGTAGTTTAGCTCTTAAACTTGGGTCTTTGCTACATTTTGAGTTAATTTTTATATTTGGTGTGATGTGAGTCCAACTTCATTCTCTTGCATGTGGATATCCAGTTGTCCTAGCACCATTTGTTGAAAAATCTTATTCTTTCCCCCATTGCCTTGTCTTGGCACCCTGGGTAAAAATCACTTGGTCATAGATAGATAAATGGGCTTATTTATGGACTCGTAACTGTATTCCATTGAGCTATACAACTGTCCTTATGCTAGTACCATAATATTTGATTACTATTGTTTTGTAGTAATTTCTGAAATCAGAAAGTGTGAATCCCTTGACTTTGTTCTTTCAAGATTGTTTTGTCTTACCTGGATCCCTTGGGTTTTCTATATTTTATAATCAACTTTTCCATTTCTACAAAGAAACAAGCTGGGATGCTGATAGGGGTTATACTGAATCTGTATTTTGGATAGTATTGATATCTTACCATTGTCTAATCTGTTAACACCGATGCCTTTCCACTTGTTTAGATCTTTTCTTTCAAGAATGTTGTGTAGTTACCAGAGTATAAACTTTGCACTTCTTTTGTTGGATTTATTCCTAGTATTTTATTCTTTTTTTGGTGCTATTGTAAAAGGAAGGGACTGTTCTGTGAATTTCATTTTTGGATTGTTCATTCCTGGTGTATAGAAATAAAATTTGTTGTTGTGTATTGATCTAGTATCTTGCAACCTTGCTGAACTCATTTACTCGGATAGTTTTTCAGTGTGTTCCTTAGGAGTTTCTACATGTAGGATCATATCACCTGTGAATAGTGATAGTTTTTCTTTCTAAAATGGACATCTTTTATTTCAATTTCTTGCTTAATGGTCCTGGCTGGAAGGTCTGGTTCAGTGTTGAATAGAAGTGGTGAGAGGAGACATCCTTATCTTACTTCTGATCTTCAGGGGAAAGCTCCGTCTTCCACCATTAAGTATGCTACTAGCTGTGGGTTTTTCATGGATGCCCTTTATCGGATTTAGAAAGTTCCCTTCTATTCCTAGTTTGTTGAATACTTGTATCATAGAGGGTCTATTTTTAAAACTTTATCTGGACCCCGGTTCCTTTAAGTCAACTATTGTTAACTTGCTTCCTAAAAGCAAGGATCTTCTTGGAACAGTTCACTGTTTAGTGCCCGCAAAGCTTGACCACAGAGTAAATATTCAGTAAATATTTAGTGAGTGATTATAGGCATGAAGGAATGAGTAAATGAGCGAATTTGCTTTTGCATCCATTATAATCATGCTAGCTTCAAGGCTGCTCTTTGAGAATGAGGTTGTGTATGAAAAATATGAATCATGATCAAAATCTGATTGAAAGCCAGGACCTATGTGAAGATTTCTATATGTGTGCTTCTGAGGCCTTGGCAGTGAGTGACAAGTGCTGTCTTAGGTCAGGTTCCCCAGGAAACACTCTGAAACAGAGAGTTGTGTACAAGTTTTAGTCTATATTTGAGAGATGCGCCCAATGTCCACTTCATGTGTATATTGGATGATCTGGCAGATCTGGAACTGGGAACCTCATCAGTACTCTTTGCACTATTGTGCTCATATGAGACGTATTGTCTTTGTCAGAATATTATCATTGGCTACAGGAATTAAGTTTTCAAACAGCCGTGATAAGTCTGAAGTAACAAATTAGTTAATATCTGTTTGTTTACCCATGAAGTCAGTGGGCTAATCGTATTTTCCCTATCCACTGGTTAATGCTATGATATTTATGTTTTTATCCCTGTTGTTACACCATCTACATCAAGATAGAGCTATTTCATAGGGCCATCTGGAATGAGAATGTCCATAGAAGTGTCTCGAAAAGTATGTAAAGGGAAGCTATCACCTTCTGTTTCTCAATAGCAGTTATTTTGTTGAATGATTGGAACCTGTCAACTAAGTGCTGACTTTTCTGTATAAGGTTATGAACAGTATCAGAGATTGCTTCGTGACTGGGAAGTGGGAAGAGGATAAAGATGCAGCCAAGATATTAGCAGAAGATGGTAAGTAAAGGGCTGTATTTTTCAGAGAAGACTGCCTTCTCTATATCTTATTTTCTTTCATATCTTTAGTAGTCAAGTTGAAAATAATAGTCATTTGTGAAATGCCTTGGGGAACTCTGACAGCAGTAATAGTCTAGTTCCTCCTTTCATAACGATCTTATTTTCTCCCTCTGTTTAATGGACTTACTAGATATGGGCATTGAAGAAAAGTGGAAAGCTTTCCATGAATTTTATCATGCATTTGTTAAAAATAGTCATTCTTATATGTGTGGCGTGATTAGATTAGGTTAAGCATTTTGACAAGTAAGCATATATATGTAAAGGCTTCCTTAGAAACATTTTCAGTTTCTTCTATGATCGTTGGTCAAATCATTGGTTTTCTTCTAGTGTTGGTTGTAGTTTTTGTGTTTATATTTTAACATTTTCCTGAGCTATTCTTCATAATATTTTCTGACAAGATTTTTCACTGAAATTTTGAATTTATAATGGAATAAAGCTCTCATCTATTATTTACATGTTCTCAATTCTAACATCATTCCTTTTTTCTTTTTTCTTTTTTTCTTTTTAGTTAGATTTGCAAGTTACCTATTTTGTTAGATCCATAACATTCGGATTTATTTTTTATTCTCCCATTTTTCTTATGATTAAAAAATTAACAAGGTCTTATTTTTCCTTTTACTTGTATTCGTTAGTTGTGGGATTAGAAACAGAGTTTTTTCATTTTGTTTTTAAGGAAAACACTTTTAAAATAAGATACAGCTTAATCTTCAACTTACTGTATTTTCTTAATTATTATACTTGTATCCATCACACAAAACAAGAATCAGAACATTTCTGTCACCCCCAAAATGTTTGCCTGTGCCCTTTGCAGTCAACACCCAACCCCTACCTCAGGCAGCCACTCTGGGATTTCTGTCACTATAGATTTATCTTGCCTGATCTTGGAACTCATACAAATGTAATCTGACAGTATGTATTCTTTAGTGTCTAGGTTCTTCCCCTCAACATAATGCTTTACTTTTTAATAAATCAACCTTGTTGAGACATATTTTACATACAATTAAATATACTTGTTTTAAGAGTATAGTTTGGCTAGTTTGGACAATTGTATATACTCATGTAGCACCACTACAATCAAGAAAAAAAGAATTTCCATCACAACAGAAAGCACCCGCAGGCCCCTTTGCAGTCAGTCCCTACTCCCAGTCACACCAGGCCCGAGGAAACCAGTGGTCTGCTTTCTGTCCCTAAAGGTTAGTTTTGGCTTTTCTAGAATTATATGAGAAAATGTACTCTCTTGTCTGTAGATGCTTTTACTTAACATACTGTCTTTGAGATTCATTCAGATTATAGTTTGTTTCTTCTTACTGCTGAGTAAGTATTCTGTTCCACAGATGTGCCACAGTTGTTGATCCAAACCATGTGCACTACTGCTCTCACCAAAGCCCCACCTCCAAACCACCATTAACAGCCCAGCTCTTCCCTTTTCCCTCCCTGCTCTCCCAGGCTGTCTTTGAACTAGCTTGGGAAGTCTACCCTGCTGTCCCCAGGAGGTCTCATTATGTGCATCATAACTCTTTACATACCCTTTGGATTCATGCGTGTATCATCTGTCTCAGTATCCAAGCCAAATTTTCCCGAGTTCTTCCTGTCTCTACAGGTTGATCACAAAGTAAACCGCCCCACAGTTCTTCAAAGAGAACTCCAGCACTTGATGACAGTTTCAGTGCACGTCCTAGTGGGTGTAAAATACTGTCTCATTGTGATTTTAATTTATAACTCCCTGATGACTAATGACATTGTCTTTTTGTGTGCTTATTGGCCAATTTAATATCTTCCTTTATGAGACCTCCATTTAAGTGTTTTGTCTATTTATTTTAAAGAAATAAGTTTATGATAGTTTATATTTAGAGAAAAATTGTGAATATAAGAGTTCCCATATACTTCGCACACAGTTTGCCCTATTAATATCTTACATCTGTATGGTATGTTTGTTAATGAACAGGATGCTAACAGAATCTTAAATCTCTGCCAGTTTGAGCACCTTTTTTGTATGTTAAAGGCCATTTATATTTCCTTCCATGAACTGTCTTTCAGTATGCTTTGCCCATATTTCTGTTCGGTTATTGTTGATATTTTTTCTTACTTATTTATAAGAATTTTTTTATGTATAAGAGAAATTAGTCTTTTGTGATATGAGGTCATTTACCCCCCTCATTTATCATTTGTATTTTAATTTTTTGATTCTTTTATGTGGAATTTTTTTTGATGAAGTTAAATTTATGTTTTGCCTTAAATGGCTTTGGGATTTGTCTTATACTTAAAAAGTTCTTTAAAAAAAGATACATATATTTATATATATATAAAATATATATATCTTTATATACATATATAAAGAAAATAATTTCTCATTGTTTCTTCCAGTACTTCCTGATTTCCATTTTCTTTTTACATTTAAATCACTGATTCATCTAGTACTTATTTTAGTATGAGTTGTGAGGCATAGATACAGTTTTTTCCAGGTGGTCACAGGTTCTTTTGAATACTATTTATTCTTTTCTCAACTGAATAAAATGCCCCTGTGTTTTTTCCTTTTCTAAAATTTCTTTTTCTTTCTCTTTTTTTTAATTTTGGGGCAGGTGGGTAATTAGGTTTATTTATTTATTTTGATGGAGGTACTGGGGATTGAACCCAGGACCTCGTGCATGCTTAAGCACATGCTCTACCACTGAGCTATACCCTCCCTGCTACCAAATGCCCTTTTTGTCATATTCTTAATTGATAGATATAGAAATCATTTTCTGGACTTTTCTAGTCTGTCACTGATTTCTGTTGGTCCATTCAGTATTGCTATGTTTAAAACCCTTATATAGCTTCAGAGTATGTTACTAAGACACCAGTTACTAAAACTGGCATGGCTGGTTCCTGTCTCTCCCTGTCTGTGCTGTATTTTTTAGAATTCTTCTGACTATTCTCTCTTACTTATTTCTCCATAGGAACTTAAGAATCAGTTTTCTGTTTCCAAAAGAAAGTGTGGTAGATTCATGTCTTTTTTTAGGAGCAGTATTGAGGTTTAATGGATGTACAGTAAACTGTGCATATTTAAAGTGTACATTTTGATAAGCTTTGACATTCATATACTATCACCACAATCAAGATAATGAACATATTTGTCACCTTAAAAATTTCCTCATGCCACTTGTTATCCCTCCCTCCTGTCCTCTCCTTGTCACCAAGTAACCACTCTTCTGCTTTCTGTCACTATACAAGAATTTGTACCCTAATTTTATATAAATGGAATCATATAGCATGCACTCTTCTCTGTCTAACTTATTTTACTCAGCATAATTATTTTGAGATTCATCCATGCTGTTGCATTTTCGTTCCTTTTTATTGCTAAGTAGTTAATTTCTTTTTATTGGTGAGTAGTATTCCATTGTATAATGCACAACAGTTTGTTTTTTTGTTCACCTGTTGATGGACATTTATGTTATTTCCAGTTTTGGGCTATTACAAGTAAAGCTACTGTGAACATTCTCGTACAGGTCTTTGTATGAACAACTGCTTTCATTTCTCTTCGGTATATATCTCAGAGTGGATTAAATGGATCAGATGGTTGATGCATTTTCAATTTTTAAAGAAATAACTAAGTGTTTTCCTTCATGGTTGTACTATTTTGCATTGCCACTAGCACTTTATGAGACTTCCAGTTGCTCCACATTCTTGCCAGTACTTGATAAGGCTGGTCTTTTGAATTTTAGACATTCTTTTAGGTTTAGAGTGGTATCTCATTTTATTTTCTTAATGTCCAAGATACTGAGCTTTTTTTTCGTGTGCTTATTTGCCATCTGTTTCTTCTTCAGTGAAGTGTCTGTCAGATCTTTTGCACATTATTTTAATTTGGTTGTCTTCTTAATGAATTTTAATTTTTAACATATTTTTGATACAAGTCCTTTATCACATGCAGTTTGCAATTATTTTTCCCCAAGGTATGGCAAAGACCATCAAATATGATCTGTGAATAAAGACAGTTTTACTTCTGTGCTATCTGGATGACTTATTCTTCTTGCCTTACCTTAGTACATTGGCGTAAACTTCCAGTACAGTGTTGATTAGAGGTGTTCAAAATAGACACTATACGTATTGTAATATCATACCTGCTGATACTAACATCTCACCACTTTGAGTAACATGTGGAAAACTTTCTATATCTTCCCACTTAAAAATTTTTTTAAATTATATAAGTTACAGATGTACAGTGTAGTGATTCACAATTTTTACAGGTTATACTCCATTTATAGTTATTATAAAATATTGGTTATATTCCCCATGTTGTACAGTATATCCTTACAGCTTATTTTGTACCTAATAGTTTGTATCCTACCCTATATTACCCCGCCTTCCCTCTTCCCACTGGTCGTCACTAGTTTGTTCTTTGTATCTGTGAGTCTGTTTGTTACATTCATTAATTTGTTGTATTTTCCTCACTTTTAAATACCATTGGCTTCAGTATTAGATGGTGGTATAATTTTTTTTAATCATGATTTTAGAAATTAATAAGAAGACAGTCTGTTCTCTGTATCCATATTTCTGGTCTTTTTTTTTTAACGATTCCAGATTTCTCCTTTAATAATTTCCTTTCTGCTTAAGAGCTTTCTTTAGCCATTTTTTTAAGGGTAATTATGCTAGCTACAAATTCCTGTAGTTTTCCTTCATCTGAGAATGTCTCTGTTTCCTCCATTTCTGAAGAGTAGTTTCACTGGATATAGAATTTGGAGCTGACAGTTGTTTTCCTTCAGCACTTGAAAAATAATGCCATTTCCTTCTGGCCTCCAGGATTTCAGAGGACACACAGGCTGTCATTTTAAAAGTGTGCCCCTAGAGGTAATCTATCATTTCTTTCTGGCTGCTTTCAAGATTAAAAAAAATTTTTTTTTTAGTTTTCAGAAGTTTGAGTGGTGTAAATTTCATTGGGTTTACTCTGAGATTTACTCAGCTTCTTGAATCTGTAAGTTTATGTCTTTCACCAAATTTGAGGTTCTTCAGTCATTATTTCTTTCAGCCCCAGATTCCTCATAAGACTCTGATGATAGAAGTGTGTGGATCTTTTGTTTCTGTCCCACAGGTCCATGAGGCTCTGTTCATTTGTTTTTAGGCTGTTATCTCTACATTGTTCAGACTGAATGAATTCTATTATGTGGCCTCAAGTTTTCTGATTTTATCCTCTGTCTTCTCTACTCTTACTATTGAGTCCATCTACCCAGTTGTTTGTTTCTGTTACTGTGTTTTTTAGTTCTATAATTGCTACTTGGTTCTTCAGTTTGTTGCTGAGGTTTTTAAGTTTTTGGTTCTAGCCATAAGATTTTTTGTTGCTTGTTGAAGCTTTTTTTTTTTTGGCTTTTTATAATTTTATTTATAATGGCTGCTTTAAGATACTAGTCAGATAGTTCCAACATCTGATTCATTTCAGTGTTGTTTTCACTTGTCTTTTCACATTCAAATGATAATTTTCCTGGTTCTGGGTATGACAGGTGAATTTTTACAGTATCCACACATTTTGTTTGGAGACTCTGGGTCCTATGTAATTTTTAAATTTTAGTAGGTAGTCATCCTGTTTAGGTTTAGTGTGCAGGTCCTGGTCTGCTTCGTGGGCTGTGGTTCCAGTGACAGTTTAGTTTCAGAGCCTTTGTGGTGCTGTTTTGGTCTGCTTGGTTTAACTGGTGCTGCTGGTCCCTGCTGGTGCTTTCTGAGGGAGCAGAGGAGTTTCCCCAGGCTGGGCCATCTGTGTAGCTTTCCTTCATCACTTACTGTCAGTGGGATGCCCGATCCATCCCCCTTGCCAGTGCTGCTTGATTTACCTGGATTGCTGATGAGATCTGGTTCAATCTGAGGCAAGAATGAACCTATCTGGGCTGCCTTCTGTTGCTAGCTTGGGACTTGAGAGACACTGGTCCTGAGTTGCCTTTCTGTGAATTGTGATGTAATAAGATACAGGCCACTGTGTCATTCCTCTGGTCCTGGGGTCCCTCACCAGCCCATCCTTGCCTTTCCACCTTTCAGATTGCTCCTTTGGTTATCTCATGCTCTTGCATTATTTCTGGAGTTGATGGTTATACATAGTCAGGAAGAACAGAGGAAAGTATGCCTATACCATCTTTCCCAGACTAGAAATCCTTGGTGGTTAATTTTCATTGCAACTGTGTAAAAGAGAGAATTAGAATGTTCATGATACTGAATCTCTCTTTCCAAACACATGTACTCTTTATTTGTTCAGTAGATAATATTAATAATGCCTCCTTCATTATTGGGTTGTGTTGAAGAGTGTAGTTAAGGCATGTAAAGTTCTTAGAGCAGTGCCTGGTATGTGAAGCACTCAAAAGCATTAGCTATGTTATTCCATGTGTTCTTTAAAGCATATTAAAGCTCTTACATTTTTAAAAATAAAGTTTCAGCACATTTATTTTTAGGCTTATTCCTAAATATTTTACCCTGTTTTGTTTTTATTACAAATGAAATATTCCCATCTTTTCTGTCTCCTTTGGTTCTTTGGCTCTTCTTTATATGAAAATGTTTTGATATCCTTGTAAATGTCCCCTCCCAGAGTTTTGACTTGGTTATTTCTTTCAAGGGTAGGATCCATGACTAAACTTAGGGCTCCAAAAACAATGAATGAGCTCTTCTTATGGGCTAGGCAGTTTTGGATATTACTGTTACTCTAAATGCTGTGTTTTATGTAATCCAAGATTTTCCTTAGGTGTGTCACATGGTTGTGCTGTTTTGATCTTACTGTTGAGGCTTTCATATGTGCTGTTTTCTCATGCCATGGCTTCTCAAGTCACTCTTTGAACTGTCGGTTTGGGGACTCACATGCAGGGCCATACATGCCACCTCTGTGTGCATCTCTGCTACAGAGTGTCCATCACATATACTGGAAAAATAGCTTTTGCCTAAATGGGATTTTGAAGTAAAGTATGGAAAAGTAGATTGGGTCCATTTACTTAACAGAAACAGGTGATGGAATGCCAACAATTTAACAAGAAAAAGAAGCCTGTGTAAGTGCAGGATTCTTCCGGAGTGTGTAGAAATAAGAGCAGTAAAAATGAAGTCTGAGATGCAGAACATGCAGTCCACCTGGTGCTGGGTGGCGCTGAAGTGTCATGTGCAGACCTCACTTACAGGTGTCATTTGGGTGTTCTTTTCCCAGAGGAGCTCTATGGCGACTTTGAAGACCTGGAAACAGGGGACGTGCACAAGGGAAAATCAGGCCCGGATACCCAGGTATGACTTGGCCATGGCCAGCCGTCAGCCACTGGTCCTTGATCTTTGGTCAGAATGATCTGCAACAGGCTCATGTTGAGAAACATAGATCTTACTTGTTATCTGTAGATTACGACTGGATGGATTTCTTCCTAATAATAAGGAGGGTGGGAAAAGATCAAAAGTTCTTGGCTTATTTGTTATTCTTGATCTTTTGAGTAATACTTGCTACCTCTTCTTGTTGTGATTCTTCAATCATTGACAGTTTTAGCTCCTGGGTCACTGTCTTCCTCTCCACTATTCCTTTTGCCATCATTCTACTCTTCTTAAATTTAAATGCCATTTAGAAAAAACTGATTCCCTGTTCTAATATTTCTTTAGAACAGTATCTGGAAGCATCTGGGTTGGGGGCACTTGCTGTTATTTTTATTCATGTTTGGCATTCCCAGCCGTATTAAGGAATGGCAGATTAATTGTAGTGCAGATGTCTAAATGTCTCTTGTTGCAGTACATGTTATTTAGATCCCAAGGTTGCATTTTATTTTGTTTGTTTTATTTTCATGAAGATCATAACTAAGATTTTTGCAGCTCAAATAGAACTTCTAAAATCTGCCTTAATGTTTAAAGAAAAGGTCTCCACAAATTTTTACGAAATTTTCTCTTCTGGAAATTTAAGACTGATGACACAGAGGAAGAAGTTAAAGAAGAAATTGACCCCAGCGCAGAGGAAAGTGCCAAGAAAAAGCATTTGGATAAAAAGAGAAAATTGAAAGAGATGTTTGATGCAGAATATGATGAAGGAGAAAGCACATACTTCGATGATCTTAAAGGAGAAATGCAGAAACAAGCACAGGTGAGAAAACTCAGTTTCTATCAGCCTCACTTCAGGGCTGTAATCGTGGTGCGGATACGTAGCTTTGTTTAGGTCTCTGCTGGGCCTCTTGTTTGGACTCCTAGGTTGAGATGCAGATGAGTGTGTTTATTCACGCAGTCATCTAATTGTTTCTCCAGTTAGACGTTCATCAGAAAAATATCTGTCTATTTTGTATGAAGCGTTAAGTGTTGAGGAAGCACAAGTAGCTGAGACATAGCCACCATTTTTGAGGATCTCACAGTGTAGTGATTTGAGGCAGTGTGTTTGTTTCCTTGCAAGCATTGCCTTAGTTTTCTGCCTAATGCTCCCTGGAAAAACATAAGAAAATCGTGAATGGGTATGTGAGTCTTGGCCTGTGTGACTTCTGTATACACCAGGGCTCTTTGGGGAAGGTTTTCTGAAAAATTCAGCTTGGTCAGAGTTATTGGGTGATGAAAGGAGAAAAGGTGTGAAATAATTGGAGAGTAAGAAAAGTTTAGATGGGGAAGTTGAACACTGTTTGCCAGCCAGCATTAAGGGCTGCTTTCAGAGTTGTTTATATTCGCTATACTATACCTTGAAGCAACAGAGAAAACAGTTGGGACATATCCTGAACAAATTATGAAGATAAAAGATAAAAGATTTAATTAGAGTGAAGCCTAAATAATTCTGTACTTGGTTCTGTTATTTGGAAATTGCTCATTTTTTTAAATGTTAATCTTACATTTATTAAAGATAATAGCATGATGGGTTTTTCATTGTTTTTTTCCCCTCTCATATGTAGCTTAACCGGGCAGAATTCGAAGATCAAGATGACGAAGCCAGAGTTCAGTATGAAGGTTTTCGACCTGGGATGTATGTCCGAATTGAGATAGAGAATGTCCCCTGTGAATTCGTGCTTAACTTTGACCCCCATTACCCAATTATTTTGGGTGGTTTGGGCAATAGTGAGGGCAATATTGGATATGTACAGGTAGGTGTTCTCTACTGCATGCTTAACAATTGAGGTTCTTTGGACATACTGGCACCAGAAATCTTATTGAAAAATCTTTTCTTCCCTCAGATGCGTCTGAAGAAACATCGTTGGTATAAGAAAATCCTCAAATCTCGAGATCCAATCATTTTTTCTGTAGGCTGGAGGAGGTTTCAGACCATACCACTTTATTATATTGAAGACCACAATGGAAGACAAAGGCTTCTAAAATATACCCCACAGCACATGCATTGTGGAGCAACCTTTTGGGGTAAAAAGGGATTAGAATCAACTTGTGTGTAGGTTCATTTAAACCTTTTAGACTTTATCATTATAGTTTTGTTTTTCTCCTTTCATAAATCCCAATTCATAAGATTTTTCTCTTTCTTTGGATTGGAGTATATATATAAAACAGAATCCAAAATTGTGATTCACTGTATTTCTTTTTTTTTTTTTTCTGTTTTCTTTAAGGTCCTATCACTCCACAGGGTACTGGGTTCTTGGCAATACAGTCTGTCAGTGGCATGATGGTAACTATCCTGGATGTTTTATTTTACAGATTGTGTTTGAGAAGTATGTCTTGAATATGCAATGTGTACCTGAAACTTTAAGTTGAAAATTACTCATTTTAGTAGTTATAGTATACTTCTCTTTGCTCTGAATTTTCCTATATTTTTGAAAGTAAGGTGTGGGGATGGAGAAGAGGGAAGTCGAAGAATCATAATGATACTGGTGACATTTTATGTTTTTATGATTTTATAGACATATTTTTCTAAAAATGTTTAAGCAGTGCTTACTATGATCTAAGCACTCTACTAGATTCTGGGATGCATCGGATACCATACCTTAATGCTTGACATAAGACTACACCCTATTAATGCTGGTTTAGCAAATTATGTTCACACAACCTTCATTTGACCAACCAGAGCAAGTTTTATTGGCTGATTTAACAGAAAAGAAAACAGATAAGGAGCAAATGGAATCCGCAGTGAATGTCCAAAATATAATTTCTCAAACATTGTAATCAAATTTTCATATCCTTTCATTCATTCATCATTGTGAAACTGTGTTACCATGAAATCACACTCAGGAAAATACTCAAGATATCATTAGTTTTGGCTTATGTGTATTATAGTTTCAGATAGGTTTTATTAAAATACTGTTTTTCGTGTTCAGATATTCTTGTTTTTTCTTAGGTGATTGTAAATGATGTGCTGTTTGGTAATTTATTGCATCACAGAGAAATGTAGTTTTTTTCTTGTTGATATTATTCCTGTATTCAAATTTTGGGGATTTCTTTTTAGCCTGATTTCCGGATAGCTGCCACAGGAGTTGTTCTTGATCTGGATAAATCTATAAAAATTGTGAAGAAATTAAAGCTAACTGGTTTTCCATATAAAATTTTCAAGAACACTTCATTCATTAAGGTCTGTATATCTGTATATTCACATATTTATAAATGTATATATTGTTAAAGGAGGAGTGAAATACTTCTAATGTAGGTCTAAAATATAGGTCTGATGTTTTCAGAAAAGTATTTGAAATCTTTAATAAATTTGGTCTTTGATATTTTTAGTTTACTTTTTTATATTGGTCTCTGTTACTTAAATATGCTTGGAAGTCTTAAGATGAAGTAAGATAGAGATATTATATATTGAGGCTATTACTTCCATATGAGACTATGACAGAGCTAATATTGAAAATATGTTATTTCATTCACTGGATTTTGTCTCCTACCTTTTTGGCTTGTGTTAAGAGGGGAAAAAATCAGGTTTGTCAAACAGATCAGTAGAAAAATAAGACAAAGCAGTTCACAAAGTACTTGTTGACAGGGTACAGAGATATGGACACGCTGTTATGCAGTATAACATGGGAGGGTAGTTTGAGCAACATTTGTTGAAAATTTCATAGTGGAGAGTGTTTCTATTAAAAACACAGAGTTAAGATGATCATAAAATGTTCCTGTAACACAAGGTGATACTGTCATCAGCGTTTATCTGACTGTGTTGGTTTTCTGAGCATGTGCACGTAAGTAATAGGATATGAGCTGTAGTCCAGCCCTGTGAGATGACAGCAAAGGCCATCTAGACCAGTTCAGTCCAGTAAATATCTTTTAGATCTTCTCTTTGACGAAGATAGCATTGAGCATGTTAATGAGCCCACAGTCTTGATCCATGTTATTTCAGGGAAAATAGAGTTGTATTTCTTTTGACGTAGTAATTCCACTTTTGGAGGAAAAATACATTTTGATTATTTTATCACCCTTCAATGAATTATATTTTGTTTTTTAACCAAGAGTATATTTATGAACTAAGAAGTAAAATGCCTGACTTCATGTGTATGTCCTTTTTTTTAAAATGTGTACTTGTAGGGAATGTTTAATTCTGCCTTGGAAGTGGCCAAGTTTGAAGGCGCCGTGATTCGAACTGTCAGTGGAATAAGGGGACAGATCAAGAAGGCTCTCCGGACTCCAGAAGGAGCTTTCCGGGCCACCTTTGAAGATAAATTGCTGATGAGTGGTAAATACCCTTTGTGGTGTGTTCAAAACAGCGTGTTACCATTCACTGTTGATTTCTAGCCAGTGTGAATTATAGGTGGTGGTTTAGGTCTTTAGAAGCAGGAGGCAGCTGTAGCTGTCCCCAGTTGGAGCATCTTGTGCAGTGTGCCAAGTCACACTGCCTGGAGCCATGTGATTCACACCCATTGACAGTTTTGTGCTATTCGAGAGTAGTTCACTTGTGAAGTTTCTTCAAATACCGTGCAACCAGCTAGAGGAGTCTGGAGTGAATATTTTGTTCTTTTGTTTAATGAGATAGATAAGAATCTTCTTTTGAAAATGTTAATGTAAATTTCCTCTCTTTCCAGATATCGTCTTCATGAGAACTTGGTATCCTGTCTCCGTTCCAGCCTTCTATAACCCAGTCACATCTTTGTTGAAACCAATTGGTGAGAAAGATACCTGGTCAGGAATGCGGACAACTGGTCAACTCCGGCTCGCCCATGGCATCAAACTGAAGCCCAACAAGGATTCTCTGTATAAGGTACAGTTACACATGTACTCTGTAGATGGGTGTCATCCAGAGGCTTTGTGTGTAATGTTTTTTGTGGTTTGAATTTTTAAGTGGAAAGCCTTACACTGACTTTGAATGAACATGTTGTTCATTCATAAGAGTACTTTTGGAAGGAACACAGGACAAGTGGTAATAGTGGTTTTCTGTGGGTTGGAAAGGAGACAAACTCCTTTCACTGTATACAGCTCTTTTCAAGTATTTCTTTTCCCACCATATACATATATTGCTTTTTAAAAACATTAATGTGCTAATTCTTTTTTTTTTAATTGAAATATAGTTGATTTACAGTGTTGTGTTAGCTTCTGGTGTACAGCATAGTAATTCATATGTATATATGTAATTGTGCTAATTCTTTTTGAGGCAATGTGAGGGTTTTGTGGGGGAAATTTTAATAAACTTTTTATTGAGATGTTAACATACATACAGAAAAGTACACAAATCATAAGTGTGTACAGCTCCATGAATTTTAACACACCTAAGTTGCCATCGCCTGAATCAAGCAGAGAATTATCACGACAGCAGATGCCCCACTTGTGACCTCTCTCAGTCACTACCGCACCTCCACCTCCACCTCCACCTCAAAGAGAGCCACTTTCCCAACTCCTGACATGTAAATTCATTCCGCCTGTTCTTGACTTTTATAAATTAGGGCATATACCATTTTGCCTAGTTTCTTTCCTTCAGTATTACGAGATTCATCCATGTTCTTGTATACAGCAGGCATTTATTTGTTGTTACTGTTGAGTAGAATTTCATTACATGAGTGACAGTTTATCCATTGATGGGCAGTATTTCTAATTTTGGACTATTATAAATGCTGCCTTGAACACTTGAATGCAGCTTGTTTGCTATGCATGTGCACACATTTCTGCTGCATAGCTCCCCACGGGGGCGGGGGGGCGGGTTGCCAGGTTACAGGGAACGTGTGTTCAGCATCAGTGTGTGTATTCTGAACTCATACCAGGTTAGACTCTAACAGCTGCTCAGAGTTCTCTTCTTCCATATCTTTTCCAGGGATTGGCCTCACCGGTATTTTTTAATTCTAAGTTCTCAGCACCTGTCTGGATTTCCATTTTCATTCACATTTTGGTCTCTGAGAACTTTCAATATTTTGGTCACAGGTTAACAATGCATTTGAAAAGACTTGTTTGTGTTATTGCAGGATGTTTAATTGTTTTGCAATAAGAGAGTAGTTCGGGGTATTGGTCTGCCATTCTGCTAGAAACAGAAGTTTTCCAGGCATTAGTTTTTCTATAAAATAGTTAATAAAATTTGAATCATGTTGCCATGAATTTCTCTTAAAATACATTTTAGGATGGTCATACCTGTTGTCCAGTCTGTGGTGCTTACTCTTTTTCTGAGAAGATTTCTCTGGTTTCTTTCATTCTAAAGCATTTTGGTTTCTTAGAATATTGAATATTGTTGTGGGTGATGTCTTTAATAATAAATGTAAAGACATAGGAAAATATTCTCTACAGAGTTGTCAATCTTGGTAAAGGCCTAGGGCAAAAGTTTCAACTTATTAACTATTTCTGAGGCAGTTAAAAATATTGGTCATTTCAATTTAAGCATAGAATTTGGTTAGCTTGAAAATTGAATGTAGAGAGAGTTTTGCCTTCCTTTGTTGTTTAAATCTCACTTTTCTCAACCAGCCTTCTAGTAGAAACAGAATAAAGTTAAACTTCTTAATGAGAATCAGAGATGTGGACACTTTGGCTGCTCATTGGAGGAAGAACTATGTCCTTAAATCCAGAGAGGTTGATAGTCAAGATGAAGAGCTAGATGATGATTATTAGGCTAGAAAAAAATATCTCAATGCCCCAAAGATGAAGCCTGAATTTTCCATTAAAAGAAACTTTGGATCTTCTCATTTGCTCTGTTGAGACCCTGCTGTCCATAATGTAGAAATGGATACAGTTGGTTTCTTGGAAGAATTGTAAATACGTATGTTGTTTGTTTTGCCTGGAGCTGTGTGTGCCCATTGAGCCGACTTTTATTTGATGGATGATTGAGTCGCCATTTCTGATGGTCAGCAAACTCTGGTGTTACTGATCTTGTGGAAAAAGTCAATCCATTGAGAAGAGTTTATGCAAGTTTTAAATGCACATAGATCATAATTTAAATATGTCACAGTCTTTGTTTTATTTTTCTTTTTCAGCCAATCATGAGGCAAAAGAAACATTTTAATTCACTCCACATTCCGAAAGCCTTGCAGAAGGCCCTGCCTTTTAAGAACAAGCCCAAAACCCAAGGAAAGGCAGGCAAGATTCCGAAGGACAGACGGAGACCAGCCGTCATACGGGAGCCTCATGAAAGGAAGGTACTGTCGACCAGTGGCTTCCAGCACGTGGCATTTAGATGTGAAAATAATGCTTTTAGTAACACACTTGGCATTTCTACTGCATTCTTATTTTTCATCAGAAAAGGATAGGAGCCAGACTTATTCGAGGCACTTGATCTGGAAGTTAGAGGAAAGGGCAGAGTTCATTTCTCTTCTTTGGTTTAGTCATGCTCTGCCTTATGCATTTTAATGGAGAGTAACAGGCACACAGCTGGCAAATCACTCTGTCTTCTTTGTACGTCACATCCACAGAGTGATCAACAAAGGTGGTTTTGTGGTGAAGGCCACTATAAAAATACTTTGCTTAATAAATATGCTTCTCCTTATATTCCAAGCAAGTTAAAATTTCCTAGTTCAAGATAAATTTTCACTAGGTTAATATTCATTTGGCTCATGAACTGACTCTAGTTTTGATATGGTCAGCTGAGGTGTTTAGGCCTCCTGAAATTTAGAAGGAAAGCGCGCTGTAACCGGAGGAATATTCTGATGCTCACTGGATTGTATCCTTGATAGATCCTTGCGTTGCTGGATGCTCTGAGTACAGTGCACAGTCAGAAGATGAAGAAAGCCAAGGAGCAACAGCATCTACAGAACAAAGAACACTTCAAAATGAAGCAGAAGGAGGAAGAGGAGAAACTGAAGCGACAGAAGGACCTCAGGAAGAAGGTCTTCCGAATTCAGGGTCAGAAAGAAAGAAGAAATCAGAAGTCCAGCCTGAAGGGGCCCAAGGAGCAGTTGAAGTGAGCTCCAGACAGACAGGCTAGTTTGAATCTGCACTGATGAATGGTTTCATATATTGTAGTACTTGTAAATAACAAGTCAGGGGGTTGGAGCCTAAAAACGACCTCTTTGTTGGGTATAACGCCCAGACTGTGCCTTTGAGAGGAGAAATGGCAGGACGCCTGTTCATTCTCAACATCTAGGTTATGTCAACATAAAGCAATATAATTTATGGTTCTCTAGATCCTCTCACATTCCTCTTACCTGTCTTAGTTTAATCTTGTGCTACAAAAATATCATTAAAATATTTTCTTGTTAATTTTGGCTTAGTAGTTTTCATTAGGGATGAATGCTTGATAATTGTTTATTCTGCCGCCTTCCTGATGAGTCTTCCAGAAGGGAAAAAATATTAACTTGAATCCTCAGCTTTAAGGTAAAATTTTAGAGAAAGATATATAGTTATTTTTGTTTTTTTGTCTGTCATATGTTATATTCTCTGATCATTGACCCTCATGGGCATTGGCCATCTTATTTCACATGTTTTGCATGACAGTGTAACAGCTAGAACAGTAAGCACTGTTTTAATGTTTTAGACCGGGGATGACGTCTGTGGAGGCAGGAATGCTGCCTGAAGCTCAGGTCGATACACTGTCTGGGCCTAAAATGCACTCGTGATAGACATCAGCACCTACCTGGGAGTGGCTGGAATCATCTAGGAAGGGATCAAGATGAAATACAGCCAGGTCTTAGTCCAGCATTCTTTCCCATAGTTCAGTATCTTCATGTTCCTCAAAGAAGATCACTGAGTGCAACCCACATATGCCGACCAGCACCCGAGAAGCTCAAGTGATCCTGCTGAGATGTTCACTTGACTAAAAGCCGAGCAGGTCCAGCTAAGCAAGGCTGTGCACAGAAACCAAATATGTGACATGAACAGAGAGGGCAACTTGTCTTTCCCAATGCCTTAGACTACCACGCGCAGACTTGACTACCCCGGTGCTAAGTGCAAGGAGGGTCTGGGCTCATTGTGGCGTAACTCTGGGCAAGCTCCTGAGCATCTTTTGAGGTTCAGCTTTCTTATCTGTAATACGGGGACTGATAGACCAGTCTTGCAGTTTGTGAGGATTTAATGAGGCTAAATGCAATGTGACTGGTACAGAACAGATTTTTAAATTTTTTTATTTCCCTTTCTGGTCCCATTTTGAAAAGTTGTATGAGTCTGAATCTTAACATTTATATAGACTTTAACACATACCTGAATATTCAAGTAACCACCACCACCGTCAAGATACTCAACAGTCCCGTCTCTCCAGAGCATTCCCTCATGCTATGTAGCCCAAGCCTTCCCCTCCCCCAAGCCCCACTAACTACTGTCATGTTGATTTCATCGCCACAGCTTTGTCATTTCAAGAATGTCATGTAAGTAGAACAGTACAGCATGTAATCTTTTGAAACTGGCATCATGTCTTTGAGATTTCATCCCAATTGTCCTCTGTGTCAGTGATGTGTCTCTTTTGATTGCTAAATAGTAACCAGCTGTACAGAGAGACCACAGTTGATTATCCATTCACCAATGGACTGGCATTATGGTTGTTTCCAGTTTTTGGCAATTATGAATATAACTGCAATAAACATCTGTGTAGAGGTCTTTGGGTAACTAAGTTTTCATTACTCCAGGGTAAAAATATCCAGGAGTAGGACTCCTGGCTCATACACTTTAAAAGAACTGTCAGACTTTTCCGAAGGAAAGTTTGTTTTTGAAGAATGATTGACTTGTGTGTGTTGAACTTATATTCTGTTTTGCATTCCCACCAGCTAGAGGGTATGTAGTAGTACCTCACTGTGGTTTTAAAAAATGTGTATTTGCCTAATGAACAATAATATTGAGCATCTTTTCATATGCGTATTTGCCTTTCATATACTGTGTCCTCTTTGGTGAAGTTTATGTTCAAGTCTTGTCTACTTTTTATTTGGATCACTTTCTTATTGTTGATTTTGAGAATTCTTTATATATTTTGGAAGAAGTCCTTTGTCAGGTGATTTGCAAATACTTTCTCCTAGTCTATAACTGTCTTTTCATTCTCTTAATAATGTCTTTGCAAAATTTAGACTATTTGTCAAGACTAATGTATTAAGTTTTTAAAATGAATTGTGCATTTGATGTCATGACCAAGAACTCTTTTCCTAACCCCAGGACATGAAGATTTTCTCCTGTGTTTTCTTCTAAAAGGTTTTAGCTTTATGATTTTAATTTTGAGTTAGCTTTTGTTAAGGTGTGAGATTTAGATTGGGTTGTTTCTTTAACTTACAGACAACCAGTTGTTTCTAATACCATTTGTGGAAGGGTTATCCTTTCTCCATTGAAATACTTTTGCATCCTTGTCAGAAAGCAGTTGGGCACATTTGTGAGGGTGTATTTCTGGGCTGTCTGTTCTGTTCCATTGATAGGTCTCTCCCTTTGCCACACAATCTTGATTATCGTAGCTTTACGATACTCTTAAAATTGGGAAGTGTGATTCCTCTAGATGAATTTAGTCTTCTTTTTCAAAATTGTTGCAGCTGTTCTAGGGCCTTTCCCTTTTGGTGTATGTTAATAAGCTTGCTTATATTTACCAAAAAATCCTATTGTGGTTTTGAGTGTATTAAAACTATAGATCAATTTGGAGAGAATTAACATCTTTATTCTGTTGAGTCTTCCAGTCCATGAATGTGGTGTATCTCTCCACTTACTTAGGGCTTTTTGGGTTTCAAATTGTTTACTGCTAGTGTTTTGGGAAATGACTGACTTTTGTGTGTTGAACTTATATTCCATAACTTTAGTAGACCCATTTATTTGTTAGAGATCTTTTTTAAGGGAGGGTAACAAATTCCTTGGGATGTTATACTTAGACTATCATGTTGTCAACAAGTAGAGACAGTTTTTATTCCTTCCTTTCCAACTGTTTGGCCTTTTTTTTCTTTCTTGATGTATTACACTGGCTAGGACTTCCGGTGTAATGTAGAACTGAAGTGGTGACTGTGGGCATCCTTGCTTTGTTCCCAATTTTTTTTGTAGATGCTTTTTCTCATTTTGAGGAAACTACTTTCTGTGCCTGGTTCACTGGGAATCTTTATCATCAATGAGTGTTGGATTTTGCCAAATGCTTTTCTGCATCAATTTATATAATCATGTTCCTTGGCGGGAACAGGGAAGACTTTCCTGAGTGCTCTCTGCACCTATGCCCACCTCGGGCTGAATTCAGGCCTCCAAGAGTAGGGACAGCTGTGAGCTGCGAGTGAAGGGAAAATGGTAAAACTCACCACCAGCTCAGTGCTACTTTGAATGATGGTCTCCCGCCCCAATTCTGCTATTATTTGATCTCAAAGTCCTCAAATAGCTTCTCCATGCATTCTGTTTATCTTTTATAGTTGCATTTCAGTGAGAGACACAGTGAAATGTACCTACTCTGTTTTCCCCTGAATTAAAATTCCCTTTGTTTTTCTCCTTAAAGCAGATTCCTACAAGTGAGATCCTGGGACCATTTTTTAAAAATGCGTTTTTAATTCTGAAATAGATTCACAGGAAGTTGCCAAAAAGTACAGGAAGTTTCCTTATGCCAGTTAGCCAGCTTCCTCCAGTGCTAATGCTGCATAACGGTAATACAGTATCAAAATCAGGAAACTGACCTTGGTACAATCCACAGAGCTTATTCGGGTCTCATGAGTTATTCATGTACTAATTTGTGTGTGTGCTATTTTGTGCGATATTTTATCACGTGTGATACGTCACAGTGTATCATGTATCACAATCATGATACATAACTGTACCATCACTACAAGGCCTCCACACACTACCACTTTATAGCCACGAAGCCCTCACCCCACTCACCCCATCCCTAACTTCTAGCAACTATTAACCTGTTTTCGATCTCTTTAACTATATTACTTCACAACTTTGTGGAATCATATAGCATGTGGCTTTTAAAATTGACTCATTTCACTCCGCATCATTTTCTTGAGTTCATCCAAGTTGTCACAAGTGTCTACAGTCCCTTCCTTCTTGATGCTGGATGGTATTCCACAACATCTGTTACATTCTACAGTTTGTTCAGCATTCACCATTGAAAGACACTTGACTAGTTCCCAGTTTGGGGCTATTACAAATAAGGCTGCTCTGAACATTCATGAATAAGATGCTGTGTAAAAAATTAGTTTGCATTTCTTCAGTATAAATGCCCAAGATTGCATTTTCTGGGTCAAGTGGTAAGTCCATTTTTAGTTTTAAAAGGAACTGCCAAACTATTTTCCAGAGTGGCTGAACCATTTTACATCCTCACCAGCAATGCTTTGGTTCTCTGCATCCTTGGGAGCATTTGGCGTTATCACTTTTTAAAGCCATTCTAATGATAAGTAGTCATAATTTGTTGGGGTTCTAATTCACACTTCTCTAATGGCTAATGGGATTGACCATCTTTTCATGTGCTTATTTGCCATCTGTGTATCCTCTTTGGTCAAATATCAGTTCATGTCTTTTGTACATTTTCAATTTTGTTTATTTAATGTTGGCTTCTAGGAGTTCTTTGTAAATTCTAGACATAAGTTCTTTGTTAGTTTTGTGATTTACAAGTATTTTATCCCATCTGAAATTTGTCTTTTCACCATCTTAACAGGACCTTTTGTAGATTAAAAAAAAAACAATTAATTTTGATGAAGGTGGTCCATTTATCAATTTCTCCTTTTATGGACTATACTTTTTGGTGTTAAATCTAAGAACTCTTTGCCTAGTCTCTCCCCTCCCCTTCTGCCAGTACCTTGATCTTGGACTTCTCAGACTCCAGAACTGTAAGAAAGAAATTTCTGTTGTTTAAGCCACCCAGTTTATGGTATTTTTGTTTTAGGAGACCAAATGGACTAAGACAATGGGAGGTAAAAAGAAAACCCAGGAGCTCAGTGCAGTGTCATCCCTCAAGTCCTCTGCTTCCCGGCTAGTCTGCCTTCCTCCTTCCACCTTAGAGATTCCTTTCATGCTTGTCTGTCAGATGATTTCCAGTGCATTTAGTTATATTTAGAGGGAAGAAGTAGGAACAGGTGAGTGTACAGCATCTTGTCACGGAATGCCCTGTCAAGCATCTGGAACGTGTCGCCGCCATGTCTGTCCCCTGGGAAAGCCGTAACAATTCAGACCTCACCAGAATTGTATGCATCCACTTTCTTCAACCATGAAAACATCTGTTGTGATTTGTGTTTTTAAATTTTGCTTTTGTTCCTAATAATATGACTAATTAATATGGAACGCTGACTCTAGTCTGTGAACCCAAAGCTTGGAGATGCCACAAAAGGGATGATTAGTTGACAGATCCCAGAACAAAGACAAAAATCCCCAGGGAGGCAGAGCCCAGTGGGGTGTGTGAGGGGAGGGGAGGTGTATTGGAGAGTGGAAACGGCTACTCAGCCTACCCAGGGCCAGGCTGGAGCAGCTCCACTTCTGCCTGTACCGCCCTGAGGTCACTGCCTGCCCAGGGCTGCGCCCATGAGGAAGAGACCCTATACTAGACACAGGCGTCCAGGCAATGCCAGAGCAACCCAGAAGCTACCTGGAGTGAGCGCCACACCACCTGGGCAGGTAGCTGGCTACCTCCCCATCCTAGGGGACAATCAATTGCAGTGCAGGTTGACAGCCCCTGGACAGAGACAGCACCCAGGCTGGAAGGACAGGGAAGTTCCCTTAGGGCCAGAGTGGCCCCGAGGTGATGAGCAGAAAGCGGAGAATAAGCCAGGTTATCTCACCCCACGCTCTGCCCTGCGGAGTGCCCTGCCCGCCTTCCCTAAAGGTATCTGGGAGGTGCTGCCAGGGGCCAAGGCTCCCCATTCCTCCTCCCTAGTGTACTTGACCAGCTATGGTGGCTGACCTTCCTCAAGGAAAGTGAGCAGCTGTAGGAAAAAATGAGACAAGAGAGAAGAGGAAGCTCTGAGAGGGAAAGACCACAAACTGAACACCAGAGGGAGCAGGTAAATAGACAAGACAGCAAAAGCATTTATATGCGCATAATAAATACCCTCAAGAGGATATTGGAAATACGAGGCTAGATGAGGCAGTTATGAAGAAGAAACAACTAGGGATAATGGGCGTGAAAAATGTAAGTGCCTGAAATGATTAACTAGATGGGAGGGCTAGAGGGCAGAAGAACAAATGAACGAAGGGATATCAGGCTGGGGGCTCTTCTAGAAGACACAAGGAGGGGGCCAATGAGACGGAGAATTAAGGAGGGATGGGGGTGAGAACGGAAAACGTTCACATTTATCTAATATGAGTGCCAGGAAGAGAGGAAAAGATAGACAGATAAGAGGAAATATTTGAAAAATAACAGAATTTTCCCATTTCCAGGTCTTGCCAGTGATGCATGTGTTCAATGCTTCTAAGTTTTGCCAGTCTGGTGGATACAAGAAATTTTTCATTATTGCTTAAATTTGCATTTTTATTAGATAACCAGAAGGCTTTGGCGTCTTTTCAAGTTTTTATTGGCCATTCTCATATCTTCTGTAATTTGTGCATATTCTTTGCTCATTTTTCTGTTGGGTTCTTGGCCATATTGATTTTGTAAAAGCTCCTTATATATTCTGATATAAATCCTGTGGCTGCTTATAAATCTTATAAATATTTTTCTCTAG